TTTCTTTCTTTCTTTCTTTCTTTCTTTCTTTCTTTCTTTCTTTCTTTGGTCACCTGTCAAACAGAAACAAATGGCAACTATTATTATTCATGTCACTTATATGGTGTCGGAAAAAAGTAAACCATAAAAGTTTATACGTTTTTACTTGCTAACAGGTTTGTTATCGAACGAGTTAACTATTGATTAAATGATCTATGAAACGTTTACATAGAGGCCACTACTTGGAATAATTTTGTGCAACTAAGAATAACGAGCAGCACGTGAACGCAGCATCGGGATCCAGCTTTCTCACGCGGACACACACACATCGCGGCAGCCGGCAGACAGCAGCGACGGTTCGGCCAAAGGAACGGCGAGTGGCCGCTCTGCGGGCGGTGCCACACACCTGCGAGGCTGTCATGGAGGTGGTTTTCTGGACTGTAGGCTTCTATCAGACGGCGGACAGGGCGGTGTAAACTGCTCGTCGCGTGTTGTCGTGGAGTGCTGCACGAGGCAAACAGAGAGAGGGAATACAAAGAAACCGCCGAGATGAGGAGACGATGTTCAGCGGGAGGAGGAGGAAAAGGAGCGGGTTCCACATTCAGCCGAGCTTCCGTTCTTTGAAAAATCATTATCATCATAATAATAGAAGAAAACAAAACCCTTCCAGCGGCAGCATGTCTGATCCGAGTCACTGGTCTGCGGTGCCGAGCCAAAGCAAGTCCCGCTTCGCTCCGGTTGCGTTGCTGAAACGCTCCAAAAGGTACTCAAGAGTTCGCAGATAAGGTTTAAATTAAAACCCTTCAAAAGCCTCGATGTTATAAGACAGCTTTATTACGTTAAAATACAGTTGCGTGTATTTTTTTATTAGTAGTTTGTTTTTTTGTTCAAACTAATATTCGTCTTCTTTGTGTCAACAGCTGTGTGTTTATGCTAGCTTCTAAAACCAAAAACTCGTTAAAATTGCGCCAAATGTTGCTGTTTGTATTTAAAAGTCAACCTTTATGTGTCGACTCTCATATCAATGTTATAGCCTAAAGTTGTGGATCCAATTTACGCACTTTTAAATATATAAAAACGATGTTTTCAGAGGCTCAACATCAGCTAGCAGAAAGTGCTTTGTTGACACTGGCTCGCAGCAAGCCTGCTTCGTGTTTGGATTACACCAAACTCTAGATGCAGTTTCTCAGATAAAAAACATCAACATTAATAAACAATGGGGATTTTGCACGAATGAAAAGCATCTCAGATAACATCTAGACTTCTTGTTGACCTTTACAAAGCTGCAAAAGCCATTGTTTATTAGTAAACAAACAAAATATGCAACCTGATACAGAGGATCGCTCAGAAAATTGAGGGCAAACATGTTGTTTTGGTTCTTTTGTCATTCGTTATATTGGCTAAAATGTTACTTTAAAACAAGCAGCGGTCTTTAAGATCTTTTCTGCTCTCACAAAATTTAAAAAAAGGCCTTGAAATATTTAAATTTTCATTTTAATAGCAGCACCATTCTTAGAACTGCAACCAAGACTTGTTTCAGCAAGTCATGCTTCTTCTTTTTTCACAGTGTCTTCATTAAAATGCAATAAAATACCCAACAGCAAGTTATAAAGAGCCCAGGGTGTTATATGATATGGATCAGTGTTTCCCAAAGTTGGGGTCGGGACCCAAAGTGGGGTCCTGAAACATCAAGGTGGGGTCCTGAAAAGATTTTTGGAATTAATTACATTTTTGCCTTAGTTGTTACAAAGGAGTGAGGTTAGTTTATTTAAAATGGATAAATGTAGTATAAAAATATTGGGCCTCATGCAAGAAC